TGTTGATACTTCACATTTTTCTTACCACCCAAACACTGGTTATGCATTTCACCATTGCATGCTGATTTGCTGCAGCTTCTCTTTATTTTCCCTCAATATTTTTTAAGCACATCATCACACTGAACATGAAGAAGTTTTAATTTATATTAAATTCAGAATTCAGATCCTCATGTCCTTAAATTTATGTGAAGGAGAATTATAAAATCAAGAGATTTTTTTGCTGTCTTTTTTGAGATATTTCTATCCCATATTCTTAAACTCAGAGGTAGTGAATCACTGGTAAGGACAACTCATTCTTGCATAGTGATGGACTGTGATGTGCAGATGTGTGCAAGTATAGCGCAGTGGCTAAGACTAGTGAGTGTGGACTCAAACTGTCTAGGTGGATCCCTTGCTCTCTCTGCTGATTGTGTGACCTTGGTAAGTGATTTAACTTCATAGGGTCTCAACTTAATCAGTGCTAAATGTCAATAATATCACTAAAGATGCTTTGAGGATTTCTTACATTAGTGCAGGTATAGCATTTAAAATAGTGCCTAGAGGGCCAGGGATTTAGCTCAGTGGTTCCGCCGCCTGCCTCGCAAGCGCAAGGACCCGAGTTCGATCCCTGGTACCAAATAATAATAATAATAATAATAAAATAGTTCCTAGAATCTGGAAGACTACATAATGCCAGCTATTATTTTTGTTGTCGATGTTGCTTTTACTTTGAAAAAATTGCTTTCTTTGTCCCTAAGTTGTAAAAATACCTTCTTAATGGATACTATTTTAGTCCCTCCTGATAGCCTCAAATTATTCATTGTGATATGCTTTTAGTTCTTCCTCTATATCATTTATTGGCTGTTAAATAGAGCAGATCATGTTTTTATACCTCATATATATACTTATATGTATTGTAGTCAGATGACAAAAAATTCTCCATAAATTTTTTTTCGATGTTTTTTCCTTGCTTTTGAGAGTCAGGTGACTAGGCATTCCAAAACAACCTTTTCCTGAGGATGTTTTAATTTTTAATTTAATTTTAAGGAAGCCATTTCTTTGTGTGTAAACATGGGAAAAGGCAGACATACCAACTGGCGTGTGTGTACCCTGAGGTGACTTGAGCAGCTTGTCCTCTGCTCCTTCCACAGTGTGCATTCTGCCATCTACTGGAAGAACTTTTTTGCACCCTCCAGACTTAAAAATTGAAGTGTCAAATGATTTTTTCCAATAATTTTCTTGATAATTTAAATCACATCATTCATTTGATTGAGATTTTAAAAATTCAAATAGAGGTATTTTAAATTCCCTCTCAGTGAAAACTATGAAGGGGAAATATTTTTTAATCTTTTCAGGTTATGAAAATGTATCACCAAAGCCTTTTATGTGAGTAAAATGGGTACTGAGTACTTTGCATTTAGTTGACTTCAGTTTCATGACCTTCTGCTTGCCTGAGCAGCAGCCCTAAGAAGTAGGCAGACAATCATGATGAGTTTTTCAATCAGAAGCAGTCTGGGAGAGGTCAGTTAACTGCCCAAATGTGCTTGTCAGTGGCAGAGCCGAGACTGGAACCCAAATCTTTGGGTGTATGATCTCGCCTTGCTGTGTTATCTCCAACTCTTCTTTTTAAAATTTATTTATTTTTTATGGTACTGGGGATTGAACTGGGGTCCTTGCGCTTGCGAGGCAGATGGCAAAACCACTGAGCTAAATCTACAGCCCTTTTTTAATTTTTTTTTTGGTAGTGGGGATTGAACTCCAGACCCTGCCCTTGAGAGGCAGGAGCTGGAACCACTGAGCTCAATCCCCGGCAAGGAAATCTCCAACTCTTACCCTGACTTGTGTGTCTCAGTACCAGACTACTGCACCTCCCGCGGTGCTGAGGCTGGATAAGACAAAAGCAGTCAAATTACTAAGTTCATTTAAAAAGTGAATAATGCACAGAACTAACCTTTGTAAGCCTTGAAAAGTGAAATAATGAGATCCAGAAATGTGCATACTGTAGACCCCTCGTACTGTTGATTCACCACATTGAAAGAATACTTTCTGCTTTGTATGTAAAAATATTGTTCACTTATGTTTGATTTTTTTCTGCATAGCAATGTGTACTCCATAAGGTTCAAAACTGACTCCTGACTCCTAATGTCCCAAAACTGATGTTTACTGAAGCAGCTTGTTATCTGATTATCCTGGCATAGCAGTGAATTTTGTTCATTAACACTTCTGCTGGTGTATGGTAGTTTGACTTTTAAAATAGTGATCCTTTAATTGTTCAATAATGTAATGTTGCCATTGGGAACAAGAAATTTGCCTGTAATACTTTTTGGGCACTGTTAGATTTTTAAAATTCACCAAATGCAAATGCATTTGCTAATGCATGTATTTTACACTAATCCGGATATCACAGGCTATTTGTTGTTCTTACCTCCTTTCCTTCATTTTGTGCATCGAGGGCTTCCTGACATGGCCTCACCTACCCATGTATGTACAGTGTGAGTCATGCAGGTTGCACTGTAGTCCTCATTGCATCTGTAATGGCTATACCTACCCTCTGTCACTTCTTCACTTTTTCTTCCCATCTGCTTTCTAAAGTTTTAAGATGTGTGGTTTTTAGTTTTCCTTATTTACTAATATTGCTTTCAACTCTTTTTTTAAACATCAAATGCTTTTACATTTCAGCTACACTAAACTAAGTACAGGTAAGATCTTTGTGTGCAGCCGTGTTTGTAGTTTGAAACAGCTGCTTTATACAATGTTTCTTGGGATGCCCATGACTCTGGATGAATGTGTTAATGACACATCTGGCTTGAGACTTTTATTTTTATTAGGACTATAGTGTTGGGAATTTTTTAGCAGATAATCTAGAAGAGGAAGGTGGGTTTATTTAGTCTTTAATTAGACCATGTGAAGTATGGCATGAGATATGATAATCTGCCCATGAGCAAAACAGCCAAAAGAATTACAGCCGTTCATGTAACATTTAGTTTTTCTTCATAGTGAATTGAAATTTACCTATCCAATAATATGAATGGTTTTAAGCCTTTTTTATAGATATACAGCATAAATCTAACCTCTCTTCTATATGACAGCTATTATTCTTCTTTCTGGATTTTTCTACTTCCTAATACCCCTCAAATGCCCCTCTTCGCTTCTCAATCATAAATTTTCTGAGCAGTTCTTTGCATAAGTCCTTAATTCTTACCCCAGCCCTGTAAGGTAGCATTTTTTATGTCCTTTTGACTGAGGCTCATCAGAGACATAAAGCACTCACACGCAGTGGGGGAGAACAGGTTACCTGGGATTCTTCCTGTCTGCTGTCTGAGCTTTCACCACCATACCTCGCCACCACCCTTCATGTGACACATCTCCCTGGCTCCTTGCTGTCTGCTCTCTCCTCAGTACCATCATGTTTGTTGAACACCTGTCTTTCAAGATAGCACCAAAAAATCTTGGTGTTTGAGCTGTGCTCAACCCTGGAGTCAGGCAGCTCAGGCATGTGTTCAGGAACACACTGCAGATTTTTCTCACATTTTGGCTTGTCTTGTATAGGTATTAAATTGGAGCTTGTCTCTGTGCTCCCATGTGGACACATGTACACATGTGTATTTATAAATGTATGTGTGTATATATATTTCCCCATTAAAAAACTTGACATGATTTTTGGTAAGCTATGCTGTCACTTTTGGTATAGTCTTGCTTACCTTCATCTTTGCTGTTCTTTCCCTTTCTGTGCTGAGTGTACCTTCCACCTACATTCAAGGTCCTGCACCAGATTCTTGAAACAGTTCACTGAGATTTCATGGTCTGTTTCTTGGACAGTGTGTCAAGTCATATTTTATGATTTGTGAATTGCTTTTTTCAAAATAGTCTGTTGTTCTTGAGTCGTATTCATTTTTAAAGCTTTTCCTCGTGGGATTATCCTTGTCTTTTCTATTCAGGTTTTAGATCTGTTGTATCTTCTGTAAAGATAGGAATTAGTGGGCTGGGGATTTAGCTCAGTGGTTTTGCCGCCTGCTGTGCAAGCGCAAGGACCCAAATTTGATCCCCGGTACCAAAAAAGAAAAAAAAAAAAAAGATAGGAGTTAATTTCTGATCGCTCTTTTAGTTACTGTGATGACTGTTGAAACCTTGTTCTCAGAAACAGCTAAGAACTTTGTAACCTAGCCAGATAACCCTGTCTTTCTCATTCCTGCTGGCATTTGCCAAATTGGGCATTTTAAATCTGCATTTATTTTGCATTAGCTTAATCAGATGATAAAATTACAGTTCACTTGCTTTAATTCCAATCTCTGCAATATTAGAGGATACCAAATCACCTAAGGAGTTTCAGTAACAAGCAGAGACTCATTTTGGCTTTTCTGAGTTGCATCCCAGGGCTGCTGCTCATCAGATGTACACTTGTTCATCTCCTTAGTAATTTGATGCTGCAGGGCCTCTATCCCATAGAGCTTCTAAGCAGTCACTGCCCCTCTGCTTCACTCCGGGGAGGGGAAGCAGGAGAGCCGCCTGCTTCCTGCCTCAGTAAAGCACCATTGCTCCTGTACACCAACCCACATGGCATGCCTCCTCACCAGATGCTCCTGCTGCCTGAAGGAACACCCTAGAGGCAATGCCTGCTGCCCTTTCTGTCCCCATGTGGCTGTGACCCAGCACAGGTCAGCAGAAAATTCACCCTCTCGTGGTTGTTTGGGTGAGTGTTACATGCATGTGTGTTACACTTTACACACATGCTGACCGTTTCCAACACTCAGTGTTACAATGAAACTCCATCAAAACACACTTTCTATGTTAATATTACTGTGAAATTTATGAAATCAGTAATTCATATATTTAAGGATTGTCCCAAAACTAAAGATAAATTACTTTATTCCAGAGTTCAGCTTAAGCTAAATCTAAAAAAACAAAATGTAATTTGACTTGAATACTTGTGGCAGTTTCCATGGTTAATCCATTAAATGTTGCACATGTCTTGAAATCTTTTGTAAGATCTTTCTTTTAGGAATTATCTCCTTTGTTTCTAGGTGAATGAAATTTACCATGATGAGTCCCTCGGAGTGCATATAAATGTGGTCCTGGTCCGAATGATAATGCTGGGTTATGCAAAGGTAAAATGCCTTAAAATATGTGGGATATGAACATTAGAGACGGGGTTAGCAATAGAATACTAAATCTCAGAAGCTGCAGCTGCTCTGTGTCTCATGTAGACCCCTGGTGGCACTGAACTGAAAAGAGAAACTGCCACTAGTAGAGATCTCCAAATTAGAACAGATAATGATTTGTATGATTCTACCATTTAGTTACTTCTCTCTAAGGGAAATGTAGGATAGTTATCCTAACTGTAGATAAAAATATATGAAAGAAAATAAATACATAACATTAAGAGAGTTAACTTAGCCTCTGGGAAGCTGACATAGGAGGATTGGGAGTTCAAGCCCAGCCTGTGTAACTTAGGAACTTGGCAAGACCCTGCTTCAGAAATTTTTTAAAAAGGGGGGTGGGGGTGGGGGCTGGGGTTGTAGTTCAGTGCAGGAGGCTTGGGTGCAATCTCCACTACAGCAACGCAAAGGGAGGGTGAGTTTTGTTAGGTCTCCATTATCAAGTTTGTAATTTATATATTCACTCAGAATGTCTGTATTGAGTGCCTGCTATGTGATGTACTCTTCCTAGGTACTTGGAATATGTTACTGAAAACAAAGATAAAGATCTTGCCTTCTCTTGATTTGTTAAAAAGACTACTTTACATATATCATTTCATATTTAAAAGTGAAACTTGAGTCATTTGTAGGAAAATGGATGCATCTTGAGACCATAATGTTTAGTGAAATAAGTCAGACACACAGGCTTAAATATCACATGATTTCTCTTATATGAGAAACCCAAAGTTTAAAGAGCAAAATAAAAGATAGATAATAGGAAGTAAGGAGCTAGATCATTCCCAAAGGGAAGGGGACAAGACATGGGGGAGGGGCAGGGAAAGGAGATGAAAAAGGAATCCAGATGTGATGTGTACAGATACCACCTCCCCACGAGGAATGTAAACATTATGTACTACATATATGTATTAATAAAAAATAAAATATGCAATAATACTTTCCATTTAAAAGAACTTCAGTACTTTTTTGAAAACAAAAGCTTGGTCCTCAGAATGCACACGTACTAGTCATTTCATGTAATATAGTTTACATTGACAAGTTTTAAAATGATTCAGGATATGTCCCTGTCCTTGGAATTAATGAAATAGGTGAAAGTGTCTCCCTTTGAGGGGGAAACATGGAGGAAGTGACTAACTTGGCAGTTTTCTTGATGTTTAAATTACATGCCTTCTCCCATAATTAATCCTTCTCATTATGAAGTGCTAATGAATTTGTGCAATTAGGAAAGAGGAAAAATCCATATGCTTGCATTTCGTTATATATTTAACATCCACTTATCTTTGTCTAATGACAGGAAGGCCTTGATCTTTAGTTTGTCCCATAAACCTGACCTACTTTGAGGCTCCCAAGGAACAGAAGTTAGTGCCAGCTGGCGATGCTGACAGCCTTCTATTGGTTCTTAAATCACTTGTTTGGAGAAGTATGTGATCCGCATATAACAAACCCATCTAATTTTATTAAGAATGTAAACAGTGATAACAACATTTGCTGAAACTTAACAAAATTCTGAGCCTGTCAGCCAAGTTGAGACTCATTTTGGGTTTCAAGCTCAATTTCTCATTCTATCAGAAACACTCTGGATGTGCAGCTTCTGGGCGCTTGAAGGATGGCCCCTTTTACCCCTGAACTTTTAACTCCAGACTGTAATGTGGCAGCATTCCCAGGAACTTAATTCTGTCTGTTGGAACTGCAAGATAAGAGTCCATCCCTCTTCATTGTCATGAGATTAAAAAATTGTTTTGGGGTTTTTTTCAATGTGAGGTTAATATAATCTGACTGTTCCTCATAAACTAAAATTTGACTAGCCTTGCTAGTTTATGGAAGAAATTTCTATTCTTTCCACATGTTGATTATTTCTGGACCAAAAAAGACACAAAATTCTTAACAGAGATCTTTTACTTTCATACCTCTGGAAAAAAGTCTTATACCAGAATCTTTTCCTCTACTTTTGTTCTTAACATCTATGAAATTTAAAATCTAAGCAGAATCAAAATATATATTTATACTTCTAAAATTCTTATTCAAGTGATTATTGATGAGTTTCCTCAAAATAGCAAATCTTGGCATCAGACTTACTCATAAATTTTACAGATTAACCTTCTCACAAGAATTTTGAATATTACTCAGATATGCTTATGAGCGTTTTGAATTCTCAAACTACAGTAGGTATCTAATACCCCAAATAATATTATTCAATAATTATTAAATATTAATGTCAATTTAATTATTAAATTACTTAAATATGTAGTATAAATTATTTATTATATCATATGTTATAATATAATTATATAATAATGGATTGTTTATAATTATAAATTATTTAAATATTAATATTAATATTAATTATTATTAAATAATTCTTATATATTATTGAATAACATTATTGAACATGTTAGGGCCCAAATTTCAGCTTCACAAAAACTTATTAAAGGAACCCTTTGAGAAAATGTTAGTGTGTCTTTAACACGTTCTTTCCTCTTAGTCCATCAGCCTCATAGAAAGGGGAAACCCATCCCGGAGCTTGGAGAATGTCTGTCGCTGGGCTTGCCAACAACAAAAATCTGATCCTAACCACTCTGAACATCATGATCATGCAATTTTCTTAACCAGACAAGACTTTGGACCTGCTGGAATGCAAGGTATTACCATTAACATGTAGAAGGAACACTATGGGTGCAGTGTTACAAAAGCAGCCCTAACTCAGGCAGTCTGTTGAAGTGTTCAGGTTTCCACCACCACTTTCCACCCTTTTGTAGCCAAGCATACATTTTCTTTCTGCTGATTCTAGTGATTTCTGTGGAATTCACAATGATAAATCCCACTTAATATTCTAATGAATTATACTTGCCTTTAAAACAATGATTGTGCACTGAGTCGTGGAGGGGATGCTATAAAATGCCCTGTGATTTCCACTGTTTGAAAGAAGAGCTGCTGTGAGAAATGCCTGTTGCCAAAGAGTTTTCTTTCAAAGTCAGCTTACATTTATCTAATAAATTCTGATGTGGACATTGGAAAAAGCAGACTGATGATTTTCTTTTCAACATTGGTGGAATTTTTAGCTCCCTTCATCAGTGCCACAATATCAAATGCTATTGACTAGAACAGAAAGGCAGGGTTGGCCTGTGGGCAGAGCAGAATGGTACCCCCAGTCAACTCCTTCACTCAGGGAAGAAGAAAATGAAAACCCAGTGAATCTTTTTAGAGATGATAACCTGTGGCTTTCCCAAGAGAATGTGCCATAAGGCTAGCAGGGAAATAATGCTGCCCCTGTTTGCTGAAAAGCCTGCTTTTTACTTTTCCCTAGGCAAAGATCCAGTAGTAATTCTTAATGGCTTTTCTCATAAAATAAAAATAAAAGTAATTGTCATTCTCTACAGGATATGCTCCAGTCACGGGCATGTGTCATCCAGTGAGAAGCTGCACCCTGAATCACGAGGATGGTTTTTCATCTGCTTTTGTAGTAGCCCATGAAACTGGCCATGTGTAAGTCACTGCTGACAGCTGTAAGGGAAAAAGGTCTTTTCTTCGCTTGTCCCAGTATTGTTCAGGCTTTGGGCAGGATGCATGCCAGCATGCAGCTCGCATGCTTTGCCAAGGGCAAGGAACTGAATACAGTGAGTGGCTGTCCTGCAGCCTTCGCAGAGTTCCAGCATAGAAAGGCGTTGCTGTCAGACCGCACCCAGCTTCAGTCTACGCAGCTGCTCCAAGAGAGCTGCCAAGACTTAGCAACTTCGTCCTTTCCAGCACCTCCTATCAAGACAGAAGCAAAGCACAGCAGTAGAAGCTGTGGCTCACAGCTGGGGTTTCCTTCCTTTGTGTTACAGGCTGGGCATGGAGCACGACGGGCAAGGCAACCGGTGTGGTGAGGAGACTGCGATGGGCAGTGTCATGGCGCCCTTGGTGCAAGCCGCCTTCCACCGCTACCACTGGTCCCACTGCAGTGGCCAGGAGCTGAGGAGATACATCCAGTGCGTGCTGGGAACTGTGCGGCCCTTTGCTTAGAGCCCCAGACATGAGGCCGACTCTAGGACTGATCGCCAGAATTCCCGTTCAGCAAAAGCTGTTGATAGTAGATGTTTCCTTAGCACTCAGTGGTGTGGGCAGTGTACTTCTATGATGTAATCACAACATTGTAAGCTGTAAGCCAGAGCCCAAGCCCAGCTATCACAGCAGTGTGATTTCCCTGTAGTGTCCTCTTTGTGGAGCCTTTTCCTAATGGCCAGAGGCGCTGAGTGAGTGGAGCAGGTCATAAGTCCCAAGTGCTGGCCTCTCCCTGTCCAGTAGTGTCAGGGTCTGTCCTGCATCAGATGGCAGCTCGGTTAGTGAAATGAGCAAGCAGTTTCCTGTGTCCTACTTGGCTGACTTGTTGGAGTGAATAAGATGAACAGTCTTTTTCTACATTGAACTAACACCAAAAATCTTTAAACATATGCTTTTTTGTCTTAATTTTTAAAATTTACTACAATAAAAGACACATTGCCATTAGTCCCCCTCATAATACTCCTCACTCTTTTTCAGCTAGTACATGTTGTAATATGTAGTGACTCCATTTATCATGGGGAGTTCATACATGTACATAATATATCCCAGCTCTCTCTTTTTTTGGCCTGAACTCTACCCACCCCCCACTCTTCCCTACTCTTGGTCCCCTTACCATTTGTGAAAGCTCTATTTTCAGTGTTTTGTTCTTCAGTTCTTTTCTTTCCACCCCTTTTCCCTCCTTTCCCTTTTGTGAACTTGCTCTTTGATCTGATGATAGTCTAGATTATATAAGCTAAGAGTTCTTTATTATTAAGACACAGTTTTTAAAAATGAACATTTAATTACAAGTAATGTTTTCCTTCCTGCAGTTCCTATGACTGTCTGCTTGATGACCCTTTTGAACATGATTGGCCTAAACTCCCAGAACTTCCTGGAATAAATTATTCTATGGATGAGCAATGTCGTTTTGATTTTGGTGTTGGTTACAAAATGTGCACTGCGGTACGTTACCCACAGTCAATTTAAAATTTTCATCATGAAATCTGTTTGTGAACTTTGCAGGCAGTACAAGTATAAAAATAGCCACCAACTATCCTGTGTTTGCTCTGTGTTTAGATGCAGAAACCATATGTATTAAATATGCTACCTTATTTAACCCTCAGGATATAGTAGGAGGAAGCAGATAAGCTTTTATTTTATGGAAGAAAAAGCCGAACTTAGAGGATAAGCAACTCACCTTCTGCTGGAGAGGGACGCTCAGCTTTGCTCTGAGGCTTTCTGGCTCCAAACCTTTACATTCTCTTCTTTCCCTAACTTCTCAGAGATGACTTAAGGATTAGATACATTGCTTTGCTGTGGTTACATGGCCAGGGTTCTCCGTGTTTGTGGCCATAGGAAGGGTTACGCTGGTATACAACAAAATGTCAGCTAGTGTCACATGGCATCATCAAGGTGTGGCAGTACTTGACTGTGTCTCCAGCACTCTGAACGCTGAGGTGAGAGGCTTGCAACTTCAGGCCAAGGATAGCAATTTCATGATTTAACCAGACTCTGTCTCAAAAATAAAACTAAATAAATAAACCAAAGTAAAGAAGGCCAGAGAGGCTGCTCAATGCAAAGGCCCTGGGAGGGAAAAAAAGAGATGGATGTCATTGTCTGTGTGGATCAAGTCCTAGATCTGACATTAATTAAATGTGTGACCTCAGACATCTTACTTAATATCTCCAGCTTACTTATGTGTAAGATGTGAATAACAGTAGTATTTATCGCAAAGGTTGGAGTGAGGATTCAAGGTGGCAATGTAGTTAAAATGGTTAGGACAGTGAAAGAACATAATAAATGCTCCATGGAATCCATTAAAGCCAGTGTTCCATACAACTATTCAGATTGGAGGTATGTTCTATTACATTTCCATGCCAGTCTTTTTAGAAAATAAGAAAGAAAGGGTTTTTATATGGTTAAATACTTTTGTGTTACTTCCAGAAAATAAAAGTATTTATTGCTATTGAGAAGAAATTGATCCACTGTTTGAAATCTTCCATATACAGCCAGTTGGCCCGTCTGTAAGGTATACACTGTGAGCTCCTAATTACCTGTATTGGTGTTTTGGACCTGAGAATTTTAAAGCTTTGTGTTAATGTCATGGAAAAGTACAAATTTTAGAACAAAAAAAAATGTGGTCTAAAATGAGCACAAATAAATTGTACCTGTGAACATAAGGCTATGTATGGGTTAATTACCAAGTTAGCAGTATAGGTTATAGATACATGGATATATTGTGTTTGCTATTTTTTTAAGTATTTTGAGACAAGATCTCATTGTGTAGTCTAGACTGGTCTTGGACTCACTGTGTAGTCCAGGCTGACCTCCAACTCCTGGCTGTCCTCCTGCCTCAGCCTCCCAAGTGCAAAGATTATAGGCGTGTGCCACCATGCCCAGCTATGTTTGCTATTTTTAAAAACTCTAGCTAAAGAATGGTAAAGATACTTACATTCAGAGAGAAAAAGAGCAGATGAAGAGTACATACATGTGAGTGTGCTTGCATCAACATCTGGATATTATAATGCAGTTTCTTAGGAAATTAAAAAAATATTTTAAAGAATGAGAAAAACCAAGTTCTATCCTAGTTCTGGTAGAATCCTGTAACTGACTGTGATCTTAACTTGTGGCCTCTATTCTGCAGCCAGCGTTGGTGTACAGATCAAGTACTGTGTATGAGAGGTGCTTTATAAACTGTATGAACATATCCTGATATTTTGTTGTAAGGGAACACCTCATCTTACACAGAAATCTGACAAATGTTTTCTACTTTCTAATTATGAGCTTTTTATTATTTATATCTACCACGTTCATACCTACAGGAATAAAGAGAAGCTATTCTGATAGCTTGAGTGCTGTCAAGCCATTGTAATAAGATTTTGTATTTCAGCTGTTCATAATAATTGTTAACACATTTTAAAATTCCAATGTTATCTATTTGAAAGCCTGAGAGTACAAATGACATGGGCAGCTACATTGAAAGTTGAGCAGAAAAACCCCAGACAAATCATTGTTTATAACTGTTGTTTTAAAAAATAAATGTATTCTACTTGGAATCTTTTTTTTTTTTTTTGAGACAGGGTCTTGCTATGTATTTCAGGCTGGTCTTGAACTTGTGGCAAGCTTCCTGTCTCTGCCTCCTGAGTGCTGGGATCACAGGCATGCTCCACCACACCCAGCTCTGGTTGGAATCTTATGTAGTAATTTTTCTTTGTGATCATAACTTTGGCCACTAACTTGAATTGAAAATATACAAAAAACAGGTCATGCTGAAACTATGGGGCATGTAGTGTGGGCACGTGTCATGCTGTCTGGAGTTTAGAAGTTTGTTCTCTCTCTTCCAGTTCCGCACCTTTGACCCATGCAAACAGCTGTGGTGCAGTCATCCTGACAACCCCTACTTCTGTAAGACTAAGAAGGGGCCCCCTCTCGATGGCACTGAATGTGCTCCTGGGAAAGTGAGTATGTGTGTAAATAGTAGAGCATCACAACATGCCATATGATCGTCATTTGAAAGTCCGGCCAGTGCTCCATTCTTGTGGAAGCCACAGTAGTGTGGCTCTTGTACAGGCCCAGTAGGATGGTATGTATTGGCTTCCTGTGGCTGTTGCAATAAATTACCACAAATGTTGTTGCTTAAAAACCAGGAATTTATTCTTTCATGGTTCTAGGGGCCAGAAATTCAGAGGCAGTTTCACTGAGCTGCAGTCAGTGTGCAGACAGGGCCACTTCTCCAGGCTGCAGCAGAGTCTCTGTTCCTGGCTACCCAACTCCCTCCACCCAGCGGCTGTCCACGTTTCTGGCCTGTGGCTGCAGCACTGCGGTCTCTGTCTCCATGGCCAGATTGTCTTTGCTCTTCTGCATGGCAGATTTCCCTTGGCCCCTCTTAGAAGGATATGTGTAGTGGACCCTTTTTCCAACTAAAGTCACATTTACTGGTAGATTAGGATCTAATCTAATCTAACCTTTGGGACCACTGTTCAGCAGAGTCTCTGCTCTATCGCCCCCACCCCACCCCCCGCCAATTGGTTTGATTTTACGTATTGGATCCCATTCTTTGTAACAACTGCCTGGAAATAGTCGTGTGAGTGTATACAGCAGAGTTGGTCTTGCTCCTCAGGGAAAGATGCCCAGAGGTTTTAAATCTCAAATTGTGTTGGCAGGACTGAAAGCTCAGAAGCTGGCAGAGTGCCAAGCTATGCTACTCAAGGGCAAAGATCTCAGAACAAAGGCATGTTAAGAGCACAAGCCCAAGAGCCTTACTAGTTTAGAAATAAGATATTGTAGACAGGACAAAAGATGGCAAAGAAGATTAATGCAGCTTTTAGTTCTTTTAAAGATCAAATTAAAATGTGTACAAACTTACTTGTGATCAGAATTATGCGTAATAATACGACCTATGATTACAAATACTTGCATTGTGTCCAACTCTATGCTAACTGTGATATATAATACTTTTCTTTGGGAAGATTTGGTAGCACAAAATATTGTCTAGAATGAAGAGAAATAATGAGGTAATCAGTTCTTACTTGATTAAAGAATGATCTTCTGTAATCAGCTCTTGATATGCAACTCCCTTAAATGTAATGGTGTTGTATTTAATTCTACAAAAGTCAAGTTTAAAGAAAATTATTTTATTGTATACAGTAAGAACACTCAAGTCAAAATGTTAGGAAGGAAACTACGGAGTACCTTTCGAATGCCTACTGTGCTCGGAGAGCTGTGACAAGGCCCTCTGGTGTCAGGGTGCAGTCCCCACTTAAGTGCTCCCCAGTCAGGGGCATGCACTATTCATGAACTTTTCTGGACCTTAATTTCCCTCATCTAAAAGAGTAAGGTCATTATCTGACCTATCAGGATCATTGTGAATTAAATTTTATAATTTGAAACCTGGATATGGTATTGAATGTTGTGCTGATTATTTTCTAAGTTGAGACATGTTCTTGTGTCCACCATTTTAAGGGAGCATGTTGCTCACAGAATACCCTGAGATGGTAGAGGTAGTGAGGATGAAAGGTAGGATGACACCTCCTGGCAAAGCTGGATACTCAGAAAACCACTGATCATGATGTCACCCCCAGTTAGCTAGTGATTGTATCACTTAAAAAGTTGTCTGAGTGAATGGTATTTTAATTTTAATTTTATAATAAAAATACAACCCTTAAGTTCCCCTTCCATTAGGGTGTCTTAAGAGTATAATTGCTTTTGGATATTTTGAATTCATCATTACCTAGAAAAAAAGAAGCAGAAGTGAATACTTAGGTGGTTCTTGGGTAACAACTGCAGCTTCAGTGTCTGCATGATTTTCATACGGCCTTTGTCAATGTCCTCAGTGGTGCTACAAAGGACACTGCATGTGGAAGAATGCTAACCAGCAGAAACAGGATGGCAACTGGGGCTCCTGGACCAAGTTTGGCTCCTGCTCACGGACGTGTGGAACTGGGGTCCGGTTCAGGACGCGCCAGTGCGACAGCCCGACGTGAGCAGTCTCTGTAACCCTTGCATGTTCCCATAGACTGGAAGGGGCTTTCTATCCTGTCATCCTGCCATTAGTATTCTGTTTCATGCAGCTCATATAAAATACAGGACCCAAAAATGAATGTTCACAGTTCATGGATAAATCATGATTTATGTATCTTGTGAAGATTACGCAGTAATGGAGAACCTTGGTTGAAGAGAGATTTTCTGGAGAGAGTGCTATTGAGAGTTAGGGCCCAGGAGGGAGTAGATCACAATGCCCTTACTTAGTGCGGGGCCTGGGGAGCATCTTGGGGTGGTGCCGGCCATGTCCCCCAGGGAAGCACAGTGGCCGCACAGAAGGGGGAGCCAAGGCAGTGACAGGTGGCCAGGAGCGAGGGGAACGCATTCTTACACTCTTGCTTGGGCTGATGTCACTCAGTCCCTTTTGTGTGCTCTGCAAACTGTTTTCTGAAAGAGAAAAATCATGGAACTATTAAACTTAGGGTGTCTTCCCTGGTCTGGGGTTAACATGTGGCAGCCCTTTATCTTTGCAGCAGGATGTCTGAGCATGTCTTTGATGAGACCATGTGCACCTCCCTTCATGTGGCACTGGAGAAAGCAACACAGACAATCAAAATGATGATAATAAGTGTAGCTTAGCTTTGCTATAAGCCAGGGTTTATCATAAGTACCCTAAATATGTTACCTCATCGAATCCTCAGTGTTTCTCAATGGAAAATAGTATTGCTATTTGCATTTTACACAGAAGAGAGGCATAGAGCTATGACAAGAGTTGCTCTGAGTTGCATCTTTGTGTTTTATACTTGTTAGAGACTGTAAGCTTCTTGAGCCTATGTGCATGCTTTTTCTTCCTTTATGTGGGAGGAACTGGCTCTGGTAGAGTTTGAGGTCCTCTGCCCCACAGCAGGAAGAGCAGGAGACTGGGGAGGGCCGGCCGGGTGGAGGAGGAAGCACAGACTCATTCCTGCTGTGGGCAGCCCGGTGCTGGCTCTGGGCCCCACTCAGTGTCTGCGGGCTTTTCCAGCGTGGTCTTTCCTGCAGGCCCATCAATGGTGGTCAGGACTGTACAGGCGTTAACTTTGAGTACCAGCTCTGTAATACGGAAGAGTGCCAGAAACACTTCGAGGACTTCAGAGCACAGCAGTGCCAGCAGCGGAACTCTCACTTTGAGTTCCAGGGCACCAAACATCACTGGTTGCCGCATGAGCACCCTGACCGTGAGTACCCCCACTCCTCCTGCCTCAGGCCAGCACCTCACCCTTGGGCTAGGACCCCACCTGGTAACAGGGAAGCCGGCACTCTGAGGTCCAGGCGCCAGGGCTTCCGAGTACAGGTGGTTTCTCTCTCTAGAGGTAGAGATTGTGCCCAAGACTTCCTGGAAAACAGCACAACCACCCTCACCAAGGAAATGCCTGGTAGGAAGGGATGCCTGGGAAAGATGCTGAATTCCCTGATTCAGCCAAAATCTCTCTACAGGGAAATACTTCTGCATAAGTGTGATCTTTCCTTTCAGAATAACTAGAGAGAAATACAGTTCACGTATAGCTGGGTCAGATCCAGGAAAAACACCATTACTTAGTAACAAAAGGCACTTTGTAGCTTTTTGCTTTTATATTGCAAACTAGTTGTTGAAAAGTAAATTTGGAACTGGGCATGGTGGCACACACCTGTAACCCCAGCACTCGGGAGGCTGAGGCAGGATCATCGCCATGAATTCAAGGCCAGCCTAGGCTATATAGGGAGTTCAAATCCAGCCTGGATTACATAGCAAGACCCTGTCTATCTCAAACAAACAAACAAAAATTTAGAAATTGCCTGTTGTTTCACTTCTTACCCTTGAATTCTTGGTAAAATGTGTTCAAATAGTAACCTCTTGCCATATTTCTTATGGGTAAATAAAAGTTACATAATTATGTGATTTAATACATTATGGATTTAGTTTAAAGCTATTTTACAGGAAAGGTGAATATGCACAGGAATTCAGTGTTGCAGTACATTCAGAAGAAATGTATTATTTTGGTGAAGTGAGGCATATAAATTATATTTAATTAATGAGATCCCACGAAAGGCACAAACTATGCTTGGTGGCTGAGTTGGACCAAAGAGAAACCCTGTCAGCATTCTGAGCGTTGCTAAAATATAGCTTGGAGTTTGGTGAGTCTGGAGCTGCCCAGTGACAGGGGAGCCCATTCCCTCTCTCAGGCAGCTGGGGTGGAGGATGAGTCATCACCCACTCACTGTACAAGTATGCCAGGTGTGCCACTGGCTGTGTGCACTTCCCTCTTACTCTGTGCTGTATTCACTTAGTGTATTCTTTAGTTGTCAGGGACCTATGCTGAAACTTTGTATTTTAACCGTGAAGTATAAACTATGCTGTTCAAACATCCTACTTTACCTACACAGTTAATTTGTCTTCCTCTCATGCAGCCAAGAAGAGATGCCACCTGTACTGCCAGTCCCGGGAGACGGGGCACGCGGCGTACATGAAGCAGCTGGTGCACGATGGTACCCGCTGCTCCTACAAGGACCCCTACAGCATCTGCGTGCGCGGCGAGTGCGTGGTGAGTGCACTGCCCCCCCGCGGCCGCCGCCGGTACTGCGGGTTGCCTGTCCTGATCCCTCAGTAGATGAGATGAATCCGAGATACTGTGCTTAGTAAAATGAGTCTTTGGTCACTGGTGGAATCAAGAGTCTAGTAGTTTTCCCAGTTTCTAGCCACACACCTTTTCTGCCGGGGCCCATCATTGAGGTCACAACCACTGGGAACCATGTGTGTGCTTTGAGTATTTTAGTGGCAATGGGCTGTAACTAAAATTCAAGGTCTTAAAAAAGACCCAATGCTAAAGTGTTTTATCTTTTGTTTAAAAGATAGTAGAGTTCTTTCTCCCTCTCTTTCTAAATTGATTCTAAGTGTAAACATTATGTTCCACATCAAAACAAAAATTCTAGAGAAACAACTTTGTCCCATTTTATCCTTCCTTTAAAAATGAAGCTCATTTCTTGCTGATATTGAGTTAAATTCATATGAAATTATTCTTATTAGCTGAAACACATTAACTCCTAATGTCTGCTTCTTTATTGCTTCACCATAACTAAAATATACTGATCCTCCAGTGTTGAAGTAAACACCCTCAGCGTCTATGCCTGGGTCTCTCTTGTATTGCTCTGCTATGGCCTCGTCCGTTGGGCATTTGTAAAACAAAGATGTGTGTGGCTTGTGGTGCTGAGGACCAGACAGCCCATGGGCAGAGGCTGGCATGTGCTGGCTAGCTGCTGAGGGTGTGCCTGCTGCCTTATCAGGGCAGAGGGGAAGGGAGGTGGCTTGTGATGGGGAGCCAGAGGAAGTCACTCGTACAGTGAGCCACCTCTTCATAGCAACTTCGGTTTGCTCTTGAAGGCAGCGGCCTCACGGTTTCCACACCTTCTTCACCCCTGCCCCCCAGTGCTGTCACAATGAGTAAATTCCCAGCACACACTTTCTGAGGGAGACACATACAGACCCTGACCCTTTGCCTGGCAGAGAACCTAGTGCATGAAATGTGTGTGCTTTCATTACTTTCCCTGCTCATGGCCATGCCAGTCTTACAAGTGCAGTGGTGTATGGTGTAGTGTCATTATTCTACATTGGATTACCTTAAGGACCTACCCCGTCCTGAAAACCTCCAGTGGTCATCTGTCCAGTGAGTGTGAAAGTGTAAACTGATTCTGTGCCTTCCACAGCCTCTGCCGTGCCCAGCAGGACTTATCCCTACCGTGCAGCATTCGCCTTCCATCCACATAAAGCCTCTTTCAGTCCTGACCTCCAGCCCATTCCCTTTGAGCACATGGTTCCCCCATTCTGCCCTAACTCTGTGTTCCTCCAGTGTGGTACACTCTGTGCTCCTGACAGGCCCTGTGAAATGTCCAGCACTTTCGTGAAGCCTTATCTCACATCCTCCCTAGCTTGTACAGACTGCACTGTTGTATACAGTGTATGACCATATCGCTAAGTATAGTTGAAGTTATATATAAGGTATAACTCACTGTTTTTATTTATCTTTATAAATATGAAAGCAACAAGGGAAAAAACACTATATTTTTTGGTTTTATTTTGCTCTCCCCAGCATCAGCTATGTCTGTGCTCCAATAAATGTTAGTTTGAGATAATTATGGTAGGATAAACACTTCACTGGGCTGAAGACATCTAACCATTGTTACAAGAGTAGAACTCATTCAATTGCACACTTTTTCTTTAGAGGACTGAAGCAAGAAGTTCTGTGATGTGGGGACAGTTTGGTGCAGATGCACTGGCGGTGGCTGTAATTGAATGAATGTTTTGTCATTTACTTGTGTGAGGTTGTGTGCCTGGCACATTAAGAAGTAGCCACACTTAACATCTTCTTTCCCCAGAAAGTGGGCTGTGATAAAGAACTTGGCTCCAACAAGGTTGAGGACAAATGTGGTGTCTGTGGAGGAGACAACTCTCACTGTCGAACTGTAAAGGGGATATTTACCAGGACTCCCAGGAAGCTTGGTGAGACTGGGCTTTCATGTGTAATACACTGCTCTATTATGACTTGTGCTTTTGAGACTTCTTTAGCAGTGTAGCATTTTCTCAGTAAACATGACAAAAATTACCTGATGATTTTTTAATCTAAATTAGCTCCTAAGGAACTATTTAAAATTTTTAAATTCATACTCTGCAGCATTTATGAGAAAATATCTACTGAAAACAAAATCAGTATCAATTATAGTAGTTAGCTAAAAGATGTACTTTGTTTTATTTTACATTTTTAATAAAATGGAGGTAAAATTGATGCCTACCCTGCTGCGCAAGAGCAAGGACCTGAGTTGGATCCCTGGTACCAAAAAAAAGAAAGAAATTTATGCCTACTGTGAATACCTGTTGCACATAAATTGTTGGCCAGGACTTAAAACATTACAAGCCTTTAAGTAAATATAACTTTTTAAAATGCTACATTGGTTTGACTTCTTTTATTTTTAAAATGAACATTTTATCCTGTGTTTAAATTAATAAATCTGGGATCTATATTTCACATAATTTAAAAATATTTATTTAAAAATAATTTGAGATACAACCAAAAAAGTAATCTGACGTCTGATTGCTCAGGTGGGAACTTTTATGCTTCCTACACTATCAAGAACATGAACTTAGATACACATTGATGGTCCAAAAGATGGAACTAAAAGCTATCTTCATGCAAAAAATCGTATGTAAAAATATTAGTAGTTTTATAATACTCATTGGAATTTTCATTAAAGATTTGGATCTAAACATTTATTATTGAATAATTTCATGAGTTTGTAACAAATATTCAGTTATTCAATAAGGATTTATTGGGCAAATGCTTTTAGAGAGTAAGCATTTAAATATAAAATTGATATGGTGCTTTCTTGAAGATTCTCCTACTATATCTTCTGGTTTCAGTGGAGTCATATGTAATGTTCTCCAGCTCACTGTAAAATAATGAACTGTTCATTGTTTAGTGCGGTTACATGTTACTTTTTTGGGTGCAAAATAATTAATTTGTTTTATTTCCAGAGTGAGATAATTAAGGAAAAAAGGTTTTTCCCATGATCACTCGTTCTATAATATATATGATAAGGTAACGATACAGTTTTTCACATACTTCAAAAATTATTCTAAACCAGCAAATTAAGGTCAAAAGAACATGAGAAAATGTTCAGTTATATACATTCCAACTGTTCAAAGATAATCTAACATCCATCTCTCTACACTAATGTCATTGTAGTAATTCAATGACTAATTAACCTTTTCCAACAGGGAAACATTTAAGCAAGAGGTGCCATAAAGAATTCGAGTTGCTGGAAAATGAAATCTGCAAGTATTCAACTTCAAATCACTTACACCATTTTGCATTCAAACGTAGTCTTGCTTTCACTGACTATTAACAGTTTATTGCCATTAGCTAACTATTATAAATATATTTTGACTTCAGCACATAAAATTACAGAACATATTTTATATCTTATTTAATGAAATATATAAGGCTTATGGGATAGTCAGTGAAATAGCAAGACATTGGTAAACATGAAATCTCCACTAATTAAAGACATTCTATTTAAGGGAAGACAAGAGGCGCATTCACTTTACCCAGAGGAGCTCGTAATGTTTCTCTTGGTGAAACAAGAGAAGCTAAAAATGTACTGGGTAAGTTGTAGAAAACTGCAGAAAAATGGGCATCCATAAATGGCATCAAGCTGTTTTGCTGTATGTGGCATTTTAAGCATACTCGTTCTATATATCTGTCGTGATATATTCATGCAAAAATGGTACATTTTACATATTGGACTTCAGCTTAGGACACCCTGATCCACCAGTGGCTGCTCCATTTCCGAAGGACACTAATAAATATAGTGAAAAGCGGAGTAAATTTATCCTTAGGCACCTATTAATTGTACATAGACAAATGAAAAAAAAGTTTTTCCTAATTTTATCAGTAATTTTGTATTGATCACTAAATTTCTATCAATACTCATTGTGTATTTTATGTTATGTGTTCCATAATGTACTGAAGGTATAGGTTATAATCTTCATGTATTCACTTATTTTTGATGGAAATATGATATAACATCTTGGTCTATTTGTCCTGCTGCTGATTTATGGTTAGGATCTTAATGCAAAATGATCTTAAGATAACTTTTGAGACATGATAATATTAAATTTTGTCATGTATGACATTGACAGTAATAGGAATGATTCATACTTTTTAAACCCAGAGCAACCAGTTTTTAGCCTCTTGATTTTATCATTTCCAGCCTATAAGATTGAGCTTAGGGTGAACAGAAGGCAGTATGTGAGGGATACCTGGCACAATTTTCAACCCAAATGGTTTGCCAAAATCTACAATACATACTTTAAAATAGCCCCACATAAAACCTGTTTAAAACTTTGAAATTCATTGCTAATCACTAGAAAAATAAAACCTGCTCACCAGTTTTTCTTTTATAATTTTTTAGAATAAAGTAGACTCTTCAGTATGAAAATACTTCCAATAATTAATAGTTGAACTATTTATAATTGTCATGTATGCATTTAAAACAATGTGTTTGGGCAGGAAGAGTATCTCCAGAAGTTCAGCACCTAAGGACTTTTATTAAAAATTTCCCCCACTTTAAAAGGGTGGTTTAGAAAGCTAGCATCACCTAGAGGGACACAGAGAAGAATAGTATTTGCCTGAGTTGTTGTTGACACAGTTGATAGGTCAACACAAGAGAAATGATTAATAAGTTGGTTTCAAGATTAACTTTTTCTCTTACTTAATTAAAGTAAATTTACTCTGTCTCGGGATGACACAGTGCTTTGGAGTTAACATCTGAAACCGCTTCATCCAGTTTATGGATGCCCTCTTAGGCAGGAACCTGAGGAGTCAGTGCTGCACTAACTATGGTTGTTGCTTTGTTTCTTCTTTGCTTCCTCCTACATTCAAAACACATGCACAGGGTACCTTAAGATGTTTGATATCCCCCCTGGGGCTAGACATGTGTTAATCCAAGAAGACGAGGCCTCTCCTCACATTCTTGGTAAGTGTTCTGTGAGCTGGCTCTGCCTTTAACATTCATTTGCACATTGAAATGTCAAAGAAGTCACATGTACAGGTGTTGTGTCTGTGTGTACGAATATGTGTGCACATGCAGGCGAGAATCAAAATTATTGTAAATGCCTTACTGAATATTATGTGAGTTTTGTCATTTCTCCCAACTATTTTTACTTTAAAATAAGAAAAAAACTTTAATTTTTGGTAGAGAATGATGATTGGTTGTAATGACACGAGGGAAAAACAAGTTTGTATTCGTTATGCACTTTTTGGTCTGTATTAAGGGATGAGAATAATACCTTAATAAAATTTACTAAATTAAGTAAGAATACCAGAAAAATTTATATTTATGTTAAAAATAGTCAGTTGATTCCATACTATATACCTTCCCTTATTTTTTTTTTGAACTTAAAGTTCTTTGAGTAAAAAGCAACCGTAAGTGGGTTTTGCTAGTCTTATGTTAAAATTTCCTAATACTCTATCTGAAAAGTGTCAGGTGGCTTTTTTGATTGGCACATGCAGATCTGTTTGCAAGGCTGAGTGTAATTTCCAAAAGAAGATTCTTTCTTTTTTTATGAGAGCATTATATAGAATTGTCACTTTAATGGAATCTATGTGTAAATATAAACAACTTTTACATACCGAAACACTAAGATTTTTGAAACTTAGGTATTATGTTGACTTAAAAATGAATTGTTTTATAATGTTTCATACAATTGTTTTAAAAATATTTAAATTATATTCACTACTAGATGCCACTGCCTCCTGACATCCAGCCTTTGTCCTTTTTCTAGTGTTTCAAATTCCTTATTTTTCATCATAGAATTCAGACTATTACTCATGGACTAATTAGGCTAGCTTAAAAGCTAAAGGAGAATAAAAGTGTTCAATGAGAATTATATTGTCAGTTTTTTATGGTGCTGGAATCCAAGGCCTTGCATGTGGTAGGCAAGCTCTCTGGCACTGAGCTACATAACCACCTTTTGCAAATTTTCATATTTTCTACCCATTTTCAGTGATGGCAATCATTATGAAATGTTGTGTTCTAACATATCCTTACATGCTGACATATATCTTCAAAATTTCTGTTCATTTATTATTTTTACCCATTGGCTAGCATTTTATTTTATAATACATAGTGGCTGTGATATAGTGAGAACTCTATTAGCAGTAAGCAGCTTTTCCTGGCTGTAGGAATGATGTAGTAGGTGATGTGGCCTTAGAATTTTGTAACTGTCAGAAAAATGACTGGCCTATAAATCTGTTTAGGTATTTTGAGTGACTACAAATATATTGACCAACTTAAAAATGATGATACTATAAAGAAACCATTATGTTATATTCTATTTTTAAAAAACTGTCTGAATTACTGGAGAAATACTGATTATTGTCAAAATAGTCCTGGCTTTCTACAGAAATATAGAGGATAAATGAGTTAAAAACTGTTCTTCTCTTTGACAATGTTTTCAAATTAGAATATTTGCAAACATTATTTTTGCTTATTTAACTGTCTTGCGATGGTGTTGACTATTTGGAAATGCTTCTTGAGAGTTTTTAATGCCTAACAACAGAAATGAGAATAATAATAGAACTAATACTCATTTTGATTGCTTGATCCTAATTAACATAGTCACTGATTGATAGAAGGGGACAGACTTGCCATGGATCTTCAAGTTGTAATATGATTAAAATTAGAGATATGCTTGGTTTACCTATTTCCCTTCTTTAGCTATCAAGAACCAGGCTACAGGCCACTACATTTTAAATGGCAAAAGGGAGGAAGCCAAGTCACGGACCTTCGTAGATCTTGGTGTGGAGTGGGATTACAGCATCGAAGACGACATTGAGACGCTTCACACTGATGGGCCCTTGCACGATCCTGTTATCATTCTGGTATGTGCTCTTGTAGGCATTCTGAAGTTGACTCAGCTTATAAATTTGCAATTAATTTTTCTGAAAACACTTACCTTGGGCATTAGAATATTCAGTTGCTTGTTTTTCATAATTCCATTTGTTATCCCCCAAATCTTTCCACAAAATTGTCATATATTTTAATATATATTATAAGCTGAAAATTACATCATAATTTTTTTCTCTTTTTTCATAATTTTTTTACTTAAGTAAAAAGTTATGTTTTAGGAAAACAAAAAATAAAAAGTAGGATCTTATATTTACTCACACATTTACCAGGCAGGTGTCAGGTGACGGGAATTCTTGATTGGGCTCCACTGAAGACAATCAGATAAGTAAACATTTGTGTCTCATGTCAGAGAGCTTTTGAACTGACCGGCGCCAACCTGCTGTGAAGGAATAGCCAGCTACCTGGCCAGGACATGGGGGACCTGCACTCCAGGGTCATTCACTGGGTGACATTCACATCACTGCTCTCAATGTGATGTGTCATCTTCTCCAACAGCTTTTTAAAAAAAATAACTTTATTATCAAACACACACACACACATGCAAAAATTAAAACTATTCAAAGAAGAACAGTCAAGGGGAAAAAAACTAAAATAATATTCAAATACAGTAGAACTCAACCAAAACAAAACTGCAAAGCACTTTAAACATTTTTCCATATAACTTAAAAAAGCATCTCAAGCACCAACAAGACACCAGAGGATGTGATTTGTTTCAGAAAGATCCCCAAAACTAACATTGAACAAATAGTGGTCTGGAAAAAACAGTTAGCTACTAGACTCCATATAAGCCAAGTTTCTCCCTAATTTAAATTTCGATACAGACATATGACACACGATGGAAACACAATCCAAGAAATACGTTATTAGGCAATTTCATCCATGTGTATCCTTAAATTACACTCTCAGTTACTCACACCAGAGAAACTATCCAGTATTTACACGTGTGCCCTATTTATTTCGCTTAAGAATATGGCCTCAATATGCATCCATTTAGCTATAAATATCTCTAGTTTCTCATTCTTTATCACTGAGTAGTACTCCATTTTATAAAAAAAAACCCACATCTTCCTTATCCAGTTTCCAGTTGATGGGCACTTGGGCTGTTTCCTAGCTTTCACTATTACGAACTGTGCCGCTATAAACATGGGTGCACATATATCACTGTGATATTCTTTTTTTCTTTTTCTTGTATTTTTTTATTCTTAAGTTCTTTTATAGGTACATTTTAGGTATACAATACGTTTACATTTATCATTGGGTGCTTGTACCTGTACATGATGTATCTTGGTCCTTATTTTTTCCCCATTACCTGTGCGCCCTTCACCCCCTCCACCCTTCCCTATTTACATAGACTTCATTTCCAATTTTTTTCCTTTTCTCATAAATTTTCCTTTCCCTTCCTTCCTTTTCCCTTCCCCTCCCATCAACCCTACCCCTTTGGACTTTTCTTCCTATTTCAAATGATCAATTATTCATTTTAATCATTTTAACCCTTATTTACACTTTCAGTTTCTCACACTAGAGAAACTATTCGGTATTTTCACGAGTGTCCTATTTATTCCACTTAAGAGTATGGCCTTTATATGCATCCATTTAGCTATAAATGTCTCTAATTTCTCATTCTTTATGGCTGAGTAGTACTCCATTTTATAAAAAAAAAACACATCTTCTTTATCCAGTTTCCAGTTGATGGGCACTTGGGCTGTTTCCAAGCTTTAGCTATTGCCAACTGTGCTTCTATAAACATGGGTGCACATGTATCGCTGTGGTATGATTCTTTTAATTCTTTTGGGAAGATACCCAGCAGGGGGATAGCTGGGTCAAATGGGACCTCTAATCCTAGTTCTTGGAGGTATCTCCATTCTGATTTCCACAGAGGTTGCACCAGTCTGCACTCCCACCAGTAATGGAGAAGGGTTCCTTTCTCCCCACAACCCTCCAGCATTTCTTATTGGATGATTTCCTAATAGCAGCCATTCTTTATGAGATGAGATGA